GGAAGTTGTCCACATGTTGACTAACTGCTGGTTCAGTACCATGTCACGGCTGAGCTGTCTGGGCACGGCGTGGCGCTGGGGGCTGCATGAGGGGCTAGCTGGCGGAACCTGTGGAACTGGAAGCGTGAGAGAGCATCAGCAAGTTCATTATGCACTCCCTGTACATGCTTGGCTAAGATGACATAGTTATGAGTGGCAGATAACCAAGTGAGTTTACCATGATGTGCCATGATGTGCTTACAACGAGCTCTGCCTTTCTTAATGATATGAACGACAGCGAGATTGTCACAACGAAACAAGATCTTTCGTTTAAACCATTGTTTTCCCCCCACAAAAGCTGCTACCCCAATGGCATAGAGTTCCAAGAACGCGGTACTCTTCATCAAAGTAGAGTTTGATCTGATCTCTGGGGGCCAAGTATCGGCAAACCACTCTCCTTTGAAAAAACCACCAAAGCCTGTAGATGTAGCTGCGTCAGTGAATAGTTCGATGTCGTAGGAATCCGTGATTCGGGTATCGTGGAAAAAGGACACTCCGTTCCATTGAAGAAGAAACTCTCTCCACATGCACAGATCTAATCGGCATTCCTTAGACAACGAAACATGGTGATGTAGTTTGCTGACTGTCGTGGATAAGCTGATTAGATAAGAGACAAAAGCTCTACCGGGAGGTATCACTCTGCCTGCGTAATTGAGATGGCCAAGCAGGGAGAGTAGCTCCTTTCTCCTTTTTCTTGTGCATGAAGGTTTCAATGACTCTGATAATCTGCAGCACTTTGTCTTTGGGTAGATGAGCAGACATAGTAGTGGAATCCAATATGATGCCTAGATACTCTAATCTTGTTGTAGGACCCACAGTCTTCTTGGCTGAGAGAGGAATGTTGAGCAGCTGGAAAACATAACGTAGGTCTGTCATGGTTTTATTCGCTGGGTAGCTGGCAGAATCAACTGTCAAAAAATCGTTCAGGAGGTGAAGAATATTCTGAATCCGAAAATCCGAAAGCCAAACGTTTGTAGAAATAGTAACTACCGTGCCATTTGAATCCGAAGTAAGGCCAAAAGTCTTTCTGAATAGGGACCTGTTTAAAAGCGTCTCTAATATCAGCCTTACACATGAGCGCATTTGGTCCTAATTGTATAATAATACGGATAGCATTGTCTATAGTCACATAAGATAGAGAACATGTGTCCTTGTCAATTAATTCATTGATGCTATGATTGCTGTCGTTGTGTGGAGCGGACAAATCGAGAATCAAACGCTGTTTGCCAGAGTATTTCCCCACTGCCAGACCGAGTGGATTAATGCGACAAACTTTGAAGGGAGGTAGGTGAAAAGGTCCACATACATACTCGTTATCAACCTCTATTTGAACTGCTGTATCCACGGCTTGTGGATTTCTCATGGCAGTAAGATTATTCACACATTATAAAGTCACAGTTGGTGCTGCAGAAATCATGGGATTGAATCCGAATGTAAATCCTTGAATAACGTAGTTTGCAAAATCACGATCTGGATGTGCTTGGAGTTCATGTGTTAGGACACTAACATTCACTGGAGGACTATCCACTAAGTCTTGTCATTGATCCGATTTGCGTTTATTCTGCCGGCAGACAGATTTACCATGAGAGGTAGCTTGGCAGGTCAGGCAAGTATGTGCAAAATTACACCGTTCCCTGGAGCACCCGAGTTGGTTTTCCGATAGCTGCATACGCTGCCACTCTCATGGCGAATCGCTTGTGGTACTCATAGTATCCGTCCGATTCGTATTGGGCCGCGAGGTCTAACACATATTCCTCGTGAGATTCCATTTGTGCTTTCTTTTGGACATCTTGGCCACAGTAGATGTTCCGATACGTTCGGAATGCTTTAGTGAATTCCCGAGGAGACAAGGGTCTAGTCAGTTTAGGAGCTGTTTCTCCCTTACCATCCCCGAAGTCGTGAATAGTGGTCAAGAGCAATGCCAGATTGACATATTTACCTGCCCGGATCTTTGTCACGAGTTGCTCAGGGACCAGATCAATTGGTGGGAGGAAATCTGAAGACACTGCTGCCGTAGTGTGTCCAACCTGGGGAAACAGATGTGGTCCTGGAAAAGTTGTATCTTGGGAACGTTGGTAGATGCCAATCTGAGACCAATCTTGACATGCAGGCGACGTCGCTGGAGGACCCTGGGCCGTGTGAGTTGGAGAGGCTATGTTGCCTGAAGCCTGTTGTGCTGGCGATGACCGATTCTGTGCCAAGGTGTAGACAAGGTCTGTTAGTTCCTTCAACTGATTTTGAGGGACGTGATGGTGGGTCCATTGCTAACATGATGATCCATGTCTAAATTAGCCTGGGAGGCAACCAGGTCTGGGTCTGCTAGTGGGTTGTCGGGTGCCCTACTAACAGTGGCAGAAGGTGTGGGCCGTGACCTCCCAGTAGTCAACTGCGTTGGAGATTCGCTGGATTCAACTGTATTCTTTTGGGGATTCTCAGTATATAGTTGCAACAGTATCTTCCGTCCCCAAGCTTTTGGAAGTTTGAACCCCATGTCTTCTAGACGTTGACGCAAGACTTTGGTTGTAAGATAAGGGATCTGTCTTCTAGCCTGACGTGACCGTGAGACGCTAGTCGATGTTTCTGTTTCGTCCGTTTCTGACAATGTACGTCGCCGTGTGCTAGCTCGTGCGGGTCGCCGATTAGCCATTATGGATATGTGACTGTATCTGGGCACGTACGATGCGGTTTGGGGCTAATAGATGAAAGTTAGGTATGCAATTGCCCGAGAAAAGTGGTGAAACATGGCGGACGAAGAACTGAGAAGGAACATAGACTACGCATGCGCAACATGTCGGAAATAATAAAGACCGTGATGCACCATGAATTAATATTTAAGAAATGGTGCCTGCGGATTATTAATAGAAATGTACAAGATATAGATGCTGAAATTACATATTGATATAAGAAAAAGATAATAGTTGATGAAATACGTAAGTCTATTTAGGATTACGATAAAATTGTGAAGGTACATTATGTAGCTGGTGAGACAACGGAAGTAAACAGGGTATAAAAATAGACGGGATGTGAGGTAAACACGTGCTTGGATATAACATAGAAAATGTTAAAGTAATTATGCATTGATGGATTAATTTAAGAATAAGGCAAGTGAGTAAAAGGGAATTAAAGAAATATTTAGTGGAATAATATTACGTAATGAAGGGAATAGCTGATAAAATAGTAAGAGTAGGCAGGGAGGTAGTGGTAATTATTTCTGCACAGACAAAAATATTAAATTTACATTTTTTATTAATTTTCCATTTTTTTAATGAATTTTTCAAACCCTTAACATCCGTCTGAAAACTTTGTCCGCGTGATTTCTCTTAAACTATTCAGGGGATTCATCTCAAACTAAGTACATATAATCTGTGTCATATGGAGGGGTGCAGTCAAAAGAAAAAATTGTTTTTATTAATTTTCCATTTTTTAATGAATTTGTCAAACCCTAACGTCTGTCTGAAAACTTTGTCCGCATGATTTCTCTTAAACTATTCAGGGGATTCATCTCAAACTAAGCACATATAATCTGTGTCATATGGAGGGGTGCAGTCAAAAGAAAAAAATTGTTTTTATTTATTTTCCATTTTTTTATGAGTGAGTGAGTTTGGTTTTACGCCGCTTTTAGCAATATTCCAGCAATATCATGGCGGGGGCCACCAGAAATGGGCTTCACACATTGTACCCATGTCGGGATTCGAACCCGGGTCTCCGGCGTGACGAGCGAACGTCATTTTTATGAATTTTTCAAACCCCAACGTCCGTCCGAAAACTTTGTCCGCGCGATTTCTCTTAAACTATTCAGTGGATTCATCTCAAACTTAGTACATATAATCTGTGTCATATGGAGGGGTGCAGTCAAAAGAAAAAAATTGTTTTTATTAATTTTCCATTTTTTTATGAATTTTTCAAACCCTAAAGGCTAACCCTATCCTAGCTATTTAATTTGTAACTACTGACACACTAGGCGGGTCGGGGGTATTAGTGAGCCACGCTCACTTTTGCACTTGTTATTATTGTTATTATTGTTCTTCATTTTCTGGATAGTAAGTGGTTTACACTGATACGCTCTACTGTATTTAGGTTAACATTCCACACCTTTTGATTCCGAGTACTGATTGTAATATAGATTGGTTTCTTCAACAAGAACAGTGATTGTCAGAAAAATTAGGAAACTGTGTCATAAGCAGAGGGGAGCAGTCACTAGCAAATTGCAATATTAACAACCTCAGCTAGCCACCCACACTTGTATGACTTGTATGAAGGATCCCTTTCCTTTGCTAATATTTGCATTTCAGGTTACAGGATATAATTTTCATCAAGTTCGACTTCATTTGGGTTAAATGCCACAAGTTCTAAATGAGCACATTTGCTTCAAGAACTCCATATGATCACTGTTCAATTAGAGTAGGTCATGAAATCTTCCACCATTATGAATTTGTCATAAATTCAAAATTTCAAAATGCAAAGATTCTATGGCAAAATCTTTGTTCTGAAGAGGTAGAAACATGCTTTTCATATCAGGAGGCCATCAGAAATTGGTCCTGTATGAGGAAGTTGAATTGTGTGTAAAATGTTAATATCCATGAATCATAGAAGTTTTTAAAAACAAAAGTCTGGTGGTAATTCTTGGGGGGTGGCAATAGGAAGAACCTGGATGCTAGGATTCCTGCCTCTCTATGCTGTACGGGCTGTCATTAAACCAGAAGTGCTTGAATCTTTGTTATACAGACAGAGGCACAGTTTTGGGGGCATTCAGGAAAGTTTGGGATGGGTCTGCTTCTGTGTTTACATGTGATGTGAATAACTTTCGTGTTTGGTTTAATGATCCTTAATTTACTGAGATAATTATTTTAGGCATGTCCCCATATGCACTTAGCTTCAACATTATGAGCATTATTCATTTGAAACAGATGAGCTACTTGCTTTTGTCCTGTGCTGATTTCTTCAGTAAATTATCTTTTCAGGATTGCTACTTGAAAGTTCGAAATCTGTTGGAAGGCAAAAAATGGATCCGTCAAGGAAGCTGGGATGCAAAGGAGGTGAGAACAACTCACATTATGTTCCAGATGGACTGAATGATCATGACATCGCTATATAAGTGCAATAATCTTGGACGCGACGTTAAACCCCATTTCACCTCACCTCACCTGAATGATCATAAATGTTTTGACATACCCAATCATTTCAAACAGGTCATATTGGATGACATTGAGTTTACCAGAGATATGATATCTTTACAAATCAGTGCAATCTTTGCACATGCAGTTGTCCCTCACGATAATGCGAACCTCTTGGTCCATGGACAACCCCCGCATTATCAAACACCAGCATTTTTCTTAACTTCCACAAAACATGAAGTTAACCATTTCAGTTGTATTTCTTGTTCTACTAGGCATTGTTTTACATGCAGAGACTGCGATTACCATGTGTATAAACTAAATCAGAAATAAAAATCAGCTGTACACACCTTTTCTCTCAATCTACAGATGATTCAGTTAAAAAAAACAAGTATGTGAAACTGTTAATATACTTTTAATATTGCTTATCTCCACTCATTACTGAAAGGAAGTGGGAACTTCCTGAACTGTGTTCCTGGACAACAGAACAATCATCTCAAGCAAATATACCCCTGGACTGCGCATGCGCACTGGAATCAAGTGACAAAGCCCGGTTACTCATCACTCTTTCATTTTCTAGCAATCTTTTTGCTTGGGTTACACCTTCAAAACTATCATTTCTAAATCTTTTACTTATTTTTCTTCAAAGTTTTGGCATAAAATGTTCATTTTTAAACTTATCCAATCTCAATGCATGTCATCCTTCTTCCGATCCTTTTTGTGGATACATCCTTGAACAAAGTTTCCAGCTTCTAAGCTTCATTTACCAAAGCACCCCAGCATCACCATGGCAACCGTCCCAGCAATCAGGTCATGCACCTGGAATCTTGGGCAGCATTGGGCCTCTTTTTTCTCAAAATCTTATGCCTAAGATATGGGCAAAGATCAAGCAAAACGACCAGCCTGGTTCCCTGGGTATGCTGCGCTGGTGCTACACTGACCCAGGCAATGACTGCAGAATGGCCGCCTCCACTTGACGAACAAACATGGCCGACACGCCATGTATTTACTATAGAATAACTCTAGAAAGGGTGATTAAAAAAATTTCCTAGCATTTTCATGAATGCTCTTGCAATGTATATGTCACGGGAATAATGTCCATTCTTACTTTTAGTGAAGGAAAATATTATTTAAGCTGTTTAAGACTCAAAGTGGTCGTCACATCGGTGAAATGTAAACAATGACAGATACCCCATTTTCAACAGTGATATGTGCGTTAATATTTCGTGTCAGCTCACTGTTATCACAAAATCATATACATAATACATGGAATTAAACGACCACGTCAATGAAATACCATTGGCATCTTTATTTTAGCAAATTTGATGAAGCAAATGTGGCCGATTATGCCCCGTTTTCTCTCATTGTGAAGTGGTGGGTTTAGCAGAGTTAGCACCCAGTATAATAACTAGAATAAACAAACACTTTTGATCGCAATAATGGTATTTAATGATAGGGTATGTCATTAGTTCTGACATTTGGCCTCTGAATTTTATTCACATGAAAAGCCATTTATTTGGCATTTCTCATGTCGGCCATGTTTGTTCATCTAGTGGAGGCGGCCATTGTGCAGTCATTGCCTGGGTCAGTGTAGCGCCAACGCAGCATGCCCAGGCAATCAGGCTGGCAAAACGACCAGCTTGTAAGAAGTGTCGCCACATTTTTCGCTGGCATATCCTCACTAACTATGTTGTGATTTTCTGGGCATATGTCAACCATGTTTACAGTGTTCAGATTGCACTCATCTTACCCAGGAGGCATTCACTGACTATCTTAAGAAATGCTAGAAGAGAGGCATTGATCGCCCATCAAAATTTAAAGATACAGAACACGGACCTTCATCGTCCAATAAACCCAAGCGTGTGACAAAAACTAGCAGTCGTCCATCTGTAAAATCCATGGTAAAGCAAATGACACCACCTACAATTACTTCCCTTTCAGTGGATACAGTATCCGACAGTTTTTTACATGACGAAGTTACCACCGTTTCTTCACAATCTATCGTCAGTGATCCACCGACTTTGACAAACTCTGAGTCAACAAATACGTCGAACATACGTATGGTGCTGGCAGTAAATTTAAACCAGTCTTCCGAGATATGTCCATCTACTCAGACCCTATCTAGTGGAAGTCAATCATTGACTTCGGAGGTTACAGTTCGACCAGTCGATCCCTTGCAACCAGCCTCATCTCTACTCCGATTGATCCAGTTACTCCCACTCCACCTATAGCGACTAATATCAACTCTCGCAGTCTGATAGCGACAACGCCGACTGGACTTAGGAAGAGTAGAGAGAGAGAGATCTCGACCTAAGGAAGATCAACATTGAGATAAGGGTTGACATTCACAGTCGACTTCTAATGGTTGACATTCTTGGGAGAGGTCGACATCGAACCGGGGTCGAAATTCTTCAGAGGGTCGACATTTCACGGATCGATATGACAAGGATTGACATTCCAAGGAAAGCGCTTCCTCCAGTCATCGATCTCGAGATTGGTCTGACAAGACTTTCAGATTACTCCCCTCAAGGTCGATTGTTTATAGAGCACACTCGACAACGAAACACGATGAGAACCATTCCGATTCATATTGTCATCACTCTATGGATCGACATATGATTATGATCAAGGCCGTTCCTGTTCTACTCACCATTAACATCACCTCAACCGATTGCGTTCGTCGGACCCAAACTCTCAATGTTATCCTTATCGATACTCATCTTGACTTTGCGGATATGACAGGGATATCGACTGGGATCGACATTGATCTTCATCCCAGCGATAGGATCGACATTGATCTTCATCCCAGCGATTTCAGCCCATGTGATACTACCCTTATCCCACACCTGATCGATATGTGGATCATCGATATTAGCCCTACCCTGAATATACTTTAAAGGCGGTTGACTTTCAGTATGCTGCTGCTCCTTCCCATTGACATCAAGATCAATATCGACAGGAAGATTGACATCAACCTTCCTTTCATTCACGTTCCGCGTCTCCGTGGTAAGCTTGAGATACTGAAGGCCTATTCTCTACCGGGATCTTCTGTTAATGCCAGTTCAATAACCAAAACCAACCGCTGTAGACACTTTGCTTCTTTAATTCTTCCTCAGCTTACACCACTCACACAAAAACAACCTGTCACGCCGGCCGGCACATGCTCACACACTTTCTCACAACACGAGATTTTCCCAGCAGCCCCACCTCCGACATGTGCAGTGGGACTAGCTTAGCAGACGATATATCAACATTCAATACATTTTCTTTTTCTATTTTTCTTCATCATCACTTGCGAGCACAGAAGTCAGTGTCAAACATTGTTCATAAAAATCTGTAAAGATATTATAAAATGTTTCAAAATATATTTTAAGACTTTTTAACTTATATTTAAAAGAATACAATGTACACAGGCATGTGAAAAGCAATCTCAGGGGTAGACTTCCCTCCTGCCTTTGGGATTATTCTGCCCCATACTATCACTCACATACTATCACAAAGTCACCATCCATCAATCTGAAGACATCCAGTTTGCAGCACACTCAAAAGCTGAACCCCAGCCGCTCCTCTTTTTATCATTGCGTTAGCAATTTGTTGATGACAGAGGTCACTTCCTTGTTTTGTAGATGTAACCGGGGGTGTTCATGAATAACACAGGTCGTTATTTGTCGTGAGGATTTATTATCAGAACAAACGCCCTGAAACATATTAAATGTAAAGATATATATACGGGTAAATATATATGTATGTTAATATACACAAACACAGATATATAAGAGCACATCACATTATACTCATTGACATCGTCACACCCACGACATCATAGGAATAGATAGAACTCTTGCTTTCAACAAATACATTAAAGGATGTGTTATAACTTACAATAACTATATATACATTTGTATCCCTATACATGTGGAATAATATGATAAATACAATTAATTCATTTCATTAATACACAAGAAAATACAAGCATACCCTGTAGGTGAAACTGGGGCGGGAACTGCTTTCACAAACGCAACTGACAGGACTTATGGTGCCTGCATCTAAATATAAATACAAATACAAAGACAAATATACTTACTTAGGTAAAACGGGTTACCTTAGAAAACATGAATTATGTATTACACATAACATACCTATGAACGCTTTATATTATACATAAATAACATTGTCATAAGCAAACACATACATCATAAATACATACCCACTCACTCACTCATTCTCAAATGAAACATTTAGGAAAGGTGAAGATAAACAGTGCTAGATTTCTCTTGAAACGTACTGACCTAGTTAAAACATTTACATGGCTGCAATTATATGACTATATGTAATGACCTATCTAAATATGTATTAAGACTGTGTAACACTACAGCTGATTACACAAATAGATGCAAGTACATTATAACAATACGTATAGAAACATTACTAACCTATTTGGACGGTCTCAGTTGGAAATACTACACAGAGCAGAAATTTGTTGTCCGCATGGTCAAGGTGTAGTGGCTGGTGAGCTGGTTAAATGCTGGGTGTTAGTATTTGAAACAAGGCCAATCAGGCGCAAGCTGTACTAAACAAAGGACCGACCCAAGCTTCCTACTCTACCCCACAACCAGTAGAAATAAAAGAAAACTCCACGCAGAGAACAGAGCTGTAGAATACAGCAGCCATACAGGTTTATTTAATTTAATTCAACATAATAAAAGGTTAAAACACCATTTAATTTCAAAACATCATATGGTATACAAATATATAAAATACAGAAAATATGCATATATACAACACTGCCACATAGAGACTGCTGAATTGCGGCAATATCCAATCTCAAACGCTTGACATCAGCAAGACTGGTTGAATGTACAGCCTCCACCACACTTCTGTTATCAACAAAAGCATGAATGTTAAACATGCCTGTCGTGCCT